GACCCCAAGGGGGAGCAGCGGGGCTTGGCCATCAGCACCATCTCCCCATGCACGTTCAAACAAAGGATGCTGCGCTTGTCAGGCCAGGCTGCTTCTCCTTGGTGGGGGAGGAGGGACCGCTGAGCAAGTAGGCCATTAACTTCCTGCCAGCTAGTCTGCAGCAGTAAGGAAATAAAAAAAAAAATCCAGCACTGTGGGGTGTGCAGGCAGCAAAGACAGCCCCTCTGATCAGCCGTGCTCCAGCAGCAGGATGCCAGCACAGGGGATGCACGCGTGCAGCTGGAGCAGGGCTTTCTGAACGGAGATGCAGCCAACAGGACAATTGCATGAACATCAGCACCAATTCAGGCAAACCCACGGCTAAAGATAAAGTCTAACCTCAGGTCTTGTCTAGATGTCCTCAAGGGAGATGAGCAGAACAACCCTGCAGCCAAGACTGAGGCAGAAGAGGAGCCTCCTGCGCAGGACACAGCTCCTTCTCCCCACCTCGCACAGCTCCACACCCGGGCGTACGCGAGCTCCTCTCTGCATTTCAAGCGGCAGCGCTGCCCAGCGATGTCTCTGAAGATGCCGGCTCCCCACACCGAATACATGGCTTTGAACTCTCAGACAGGATTTTCAAGGCACAGATTTGTGCTTGCACACTGAGCCACCGCCGAGGCGAAGCGGAGCCGGCAGTCACCGGGGCTGTCTGGCAGGAGGGGACCGGAGCCCTGCTGCTGTGGGTACCAGCTCCATCTGGGACCCACAGCTAAGGGACACAGCCCCGATCCCCCAGCCTCAGCTCTGCCAGCTGCAGCCCAGAGCTCCATTATCCCTTCAGCACAAGGGGTAAGAAACTAAAGCCTATATACAATATATATTTGGGAGCAGCCGGTCCCCTGGAACACACACAGTCTTGCCTGTCCCTTGCAGCCAGGTTCTCCCCCCCCGCATTTTGTAGAATCATAGAACCTTTAAGGTTGGAAAAGACCTTTAAAATCAAGTCCAACCGTCACTTCATTTGCAGAAGTCTCAAACTTCACCTGGATATTGCCCTTCCTCCACTTCTACCACTTTAAGTTCAAAGTGCTCATGTAAAAAGATGAGCCTAGCCTTGACTGCTGCTTCCAGTGAACAACCAGTCACCCCAGTACTCAGCTGATGTCAAAAGAGGAATGGTGAGGAGGGTGGAGATGGTCACATCTGCAACCAAGCCAGTTCCCAATGCTGACAGGCACGGGGAGGGCAGCGGGCAGAGTTAACCAGCCACCTTCTTGAAAGGCTTCACACAGATTTACTGCTGGGGTAATGTCAGATAGGGAGGAAGCCCAGCCCTCTTCCTCCCGCTCTCTTGAAGAAAGAAACTCAGGAATTTGGCAGAAGGCCACGGCTCAAACAGAGGAGACCCTGTGCTAAGGCATGTTCAGAAAAGCAGCCTCTTCCCTGCCAGGATAAACGTTGCTTTTCCACCCCCTTCTTGGGGGATAGAAGATGTTGCCCCTCAACTCCAACATTGGGAAGAGCCGTTTGGAAGGGGTGGGCTCCTTCTGGGCTGTCCTTTGCCAGACACTCACCTTGCCCGGATGCTTCTTCCTCCTCAGGATACTCTGGGAGCAGCAGCTGAGCAGGAACCAAGCCCACGTCCTCTGCCTGGAGCTTCCCTTCACCCCAGGTCCAGGCATTGACACCGTACAGCCTCCGCCCCGGCAAACAAGGGGCTGGCAGCTGCCGGAGGCAAACCTCACGTGCCGGCAGTTTTCAGCTGCTCTCGCTTTGCTTTAAGGCACAGCCAGGCAAGGTAGGAAGAACAAAGCACTGAACGCGGGTTTCTGTGCACGGTTTGAACATCCAGGGCTACCCTGGGTAGAGGCAAGAGCCAACTGCCTCTGCTGCAGGGAGGCTGCTAAAGGGTTAAGACAGCAAGCCAGCATCAAAGGGAGCTCTTAAGCAGAGGGGGTTGAGAAACTGAGATGGGTCGAGGTTGCACAGACTCCTTGGAATCTCAGGAATTTCCCATTATTATCCCACTTCCCTTCCAGCAGCCCAGAGGGAGAGAGCACAGGCGGGACCCTGGGCCCATCCCTATGGCCAGAGGCAGAAGCACCAGGGATGGCCGTGCCCAACACACTGTGCCAGGCAAGGCTCTACCAGAGCCCGTATCAGGGTGCCCACAGTCCAGAGAAGAAAGCTTTGGTTCGGGACACTACAAGGGGTCTTATCTCCTGCAGCTCTCTGCAAGTGAAGGTCTCAAACTCACAGATCCCAGGCTGGTTGGACCACCACGGCAGGGTGAGACACCCACGCAGTCCGAGAGTCCCTCGAATCGACAGCTCGCCCTGCCTCAGACCACGGGGTTCCTCCCACGCTACTCCGGGAAGTTCCCAGTTTCACCTTGGATACTGGAGCTCCAATAGTGCTGGTGGCCCCCATACAGCTAGATAACCAGGAGTTACTTACTATTCTTCACACCATTGCCACCCTGCATTTTAGGTGAGATCCCAGGACACAACCATTACCAGCCAAGACTTGAATGCTACCAGTCTCATCCCAGTTCAACAGAAGTTTTGATTGTTATTTGTCCAAGGTCATCATCACCAACACCTAATATCAGTAATAACCAACTTACAAAAGCGCTCCAGAAGCGGGTTTTTGCCAAGGCATCATATGGCTGATGGTCTTACTGCTTCTCCTTTCTCCTCGCCTTAGACATTAATAGGGTAATACCCATCTTACAAGGATGTTGTCAGGATTAAAGTTTTATAAAGTACTCTGTGAACAGACAATGCTATACAAGTGCCAAGTAGTATTATGTTATCTAATTTTCTTTCTAAGAACTATTAATGTCTAAGAAGCAGCTACAAGAAAAATCTCATTGCAAAGCTGCTTTATAGACATTAAGAAACACGTCAGGTACGTAGAGCTCAGTGCTTCCTCATGGACTGAGGAGGGGCTGGCATTCACAATGCAGGGCACAGTTAAGGGTCCTGCTTGAGAGGAAAAAATTGGGGCCAGTGAACACCCACCACTCAGAAGTAGCTTGAAAGATCCAGGAAAGCAAATTGAGGTACAGGCAGCTGCCCTCACCCTACCCTGCTCTGCCTCCATCTCCCCCACACCGCTCAGGAGAGAAGGATTTTGCATTCAAGCTGTATTTACCTCCAGATGCATTCACCTTCGTAACCCCCAGGGCAAGCGCCAGTATGAGGGTGAATGCCCTTGGCCATGAGCCCAGCTGAGCCCAGCCTGCAGCGACACACACGTTTCACACACCCCTTTCCCCCGGCACAAAAGGACATTTCTCCTCTCCCCAGACACCTGTATTCACCTGGGCTGGTACACACACCTTTTTATTTCCCCTTCTTTAAGGGGATACAGATTAAGATCAACTCCATGTAAATGCCTGCTTGTATTTGAATTTTATTCACTTTTTGTCTGCTCAAGCTGGAACTGGAGAGCTGCCATTTAAGCCTGGAAAACACTGTTTTAATACTGGTATTAATTGGCCAGTGTGACCCCTTCAGCCAGGGCTTCACACACATTCCCAGAAAATGCTGCAGAGCAGCAGGGAAAGCATTTCTGCAGAGCTCAGGGATCCCCACACCCCTCATTTCAGGGGGGTCAGGACCTGGGCTTAAGGAAGAGGGTCCAGCAAATCCTACAGCACCTCCCAGGCCCAACACTTTCTCAGCAGCAACGTGAGCAGGTAGCAGAGACTTACGCATTGCAATACGGCTTCTTCTCGTAGCCCTTGTAGTTTTTCATGTTTAGGGTCATCTTGCAGGTCTCGCAGTGGAAACATGCTTTATGCCAGAACTGGAAACAGAGACAAGAGAATCATTAACACAAGTGACTTGCAAAACAGGGCCACGTCCCACTAGAATCGCACAGCTCAAACTCAGCAGCTCCTCCAGCCTAGAGATGTCAGCGATGGCATCTACGAGCCCTGCAAAACCTAGAGGACAGGCAATATTCTTGCTGGTCTAGGACACAAGTAAATCCCCCCCTTACCCTCCCAATGCATCTTATCTCAACAGGGCCGAAACACTTGTGATTTGCATTATAGCAGCATCTTGCTTCCTTATCTCCAGACCAGGAATTCACTGGGCTCAGCCAAATACAGGACAGGAGAAGCCTCCTACTCAGGAGCCACAACACAAACCCCTGCGAGCAGAGAGACCATCAGCAGAGTTAGCAGCTGTGGTTTGCAGGCTTCAAAGTTGCTGCTTTAGGGGTTTTTTGCTGATGTTAGCCAAGAGATAGCCAGAAGAGCAGGTCAGGTGAGGCTGCAGAGACACCAAGCCAAGGGAACAAAGACAGAGAAGGAAAGGTTCTCATGAGAAGCAGACAGTCTGACACTGGTGGCTCAAAGGTCCTCGCCAGATACCACCCTCCTGCATGCAGCTTCGGTGGCTGATCCCCAACCTCAAACCCTACAGCCCCAGAAGATGCAGGATCACCCCAAACGCTCCTCACCTCCCCCTCTCCCCGCAATGGGGCTATCAAGAGCTACGGCTGCTCTTGCCAGCTCTGCCTCTTAACACAGGGCAGGGCTGGGGAGACAGCACCAAGGAAGAGGAGCTTCCAGCCTGATGTTTTGGTGAAGGTAGTTTTTGCATCCTCTCCCCCTCAGCTCTTGCACCAGCAGCCTCAAGTTGACCGCCCAGCCAAGCTGGGGTCTGTCTCCTCCATTTAACCCAGAGGCACACTCAGGCTCAAGGCCAAAGACAAATTCCCTGAAACTCAGATCATGACCCTGCAGTAGGGGTTGAACACCTAATGAACTCTAAAAGAGTGTTTTAAATTTTTAGGGCTATTCTTAAAGAGATTATTGCCACTTGGCATTTAACCAGCCCAAGTGGCTTTCCAGGCTGGAAGGAGCCCGATGAGAATCCTCAGAGCTGCTACCAAGCAATTCTGCAAGGTTGCTCAACCCCACACACACCACGACTGATGCCCTGCCAGTCGCCAAGCGACCAGACTTCATTCTTCCTCCAGCAGCTACAGCCATCGGGACTCGAAGGGACCGGATCAGGCACCGCAGAAAGGGAAGTACACAGGTAGGAGCTGAGCTGACCCCCGCCCCATCCTTCAGCAAACCCCCTGCACAGCACACAAACTGCCCTGCATCGCCCTGCAAAACCAGGGGAAGAACAAGCCAAATGTCACATTAGCAGCTCGTAACACCAGATTACAGTCCCTAAGGCTGCAGCGTGACACCCAGGCACATATTTAATGTGCAGCGAGCAAACCCAAGGAGGACAGCTGGCAGTTGTTGCTATGATTGCCACCCTTAAGCTTTTAAAAAGTCATTTCCACCATTGCAACTACTGGCTCGGGTCTGCGTTGCTGCAAGGAGACGGCAAGAGCCAAGCCTAAGCCCTTGTGCCACCTACCTACAGGTACCACACCCCGGTGTGCAAACACCGCCGCGGCTCTCACCAGACTGACTCAGCCCAGAAGGACAATTTGCCTCGTTTCAGTTGCTCAGAGCAACGTATTTGTTCTTTTCCTCTAGTTCTACGAGTTCCTCCAGAGCTTGGCACTAACGGCAAGGGGGGGGGGCTTCTTACTGCACCACGCGCTGCTCTGTACCAACACCCTCGTTCACATCCAGCCTGCACAGGATTATTTTCTTCCCTCGCAGCTTTCAGACTCTTTAAGGAGGGACAAATCAAGAGCTGAGTCCCGAGTTCTTCGGGCATCTTGAAAGTTACGGCCTTTCGGTTGAGTTACTGCCACATCAGAGGGTAACGAACGGACCTCTCCAAGCTTGTCAGCCTTTCCTAGCACTGCGATAGCTGTGCATAAATACCAGAGATGCCACTATAAATACGTAGAGATGAACTGACAGCCAACATGACTTCAGAGCCTCTTCCTCCAAGCAATACCCAGGCTCCCAAGAGCCAAGGAGTATCTGCCAAGGCCAGCTGTCCCCCTCCTGCCCGTGGCAGCCTCCACAATAAGCACAGCAGAAGCGATGCGCTCAGGCAGCCTTCACCTCCAGCCAGAGAGCAATTAATGCTTATTCTTGCCTCGCTTTGCATTAGGCATTGTTCAGAGGTGTTTCTGTCCCCCGGCTCTTACAAAGGTCTCTGCAGCGGAGCCACCCCTTACCTCTAAATTTGCTGCCACTAAACTTGGTCTTACCACTGACAGTATTAACACTAGATCCACGAATCTAAGCCAGCACTAAAAGGAGGGCTGCAACGCAGCACCGACACAGGGGAGCAGCAGTTATGTAGGCTTCCAGTAACGCTACCGCTCACCCTCTAGCTCAGCTGCAGAGAAAGAGGACAAGTTTCAAACAGGTTTTTACAGGAGCATTAACGCCTGCGCTTTCCAATTCCAAGTTCGAAGCGTTCTGAACATCTGGAGCCGATCCCAGGTACAACTGCACGGCACAGCTCACCCCATACATCCCAGCGTGCCGTACTCCGCGAGAAGCCCGCTGGCTACAGCCCAGGCAGGCTGCTCCCGCAGAGATGGAGCCCTTCGAGCAGCTTTGCTGCTCGCAGCAGACTAGATCTGGGGACAGAGCTCACAGCCACAGCACACGTTGGTGTGTCCGTTTATAGCTCATGCTACGGCCACACAACATCCTTCCGCTAAGTAAAGGCATTGCTCCGCACCTGGGAGCGAGCATCACTCGAGACGATGACATAAGGAGAGACTCCTTGGGCTGAAGGCAAATCCTCAGTCAGGTATAACGTGCTGTAACAGCTAATTCTAACTTCCACTCATTTTAGAAAAAAGCCACCCGACATCAGGTTTACACGGGTCCAGCAGTGGCAGCTGCAACCACCAAACCCGGCGACAGCAGCTCCAGCGATGGGCGGCACAGGAGATGTCACTTCCCCAGCGGAAGCCGGCCACATCACCCAGCACCTTATCTGGAGAGCTGGCGGGGTGCGTGGGGAGGGATGGGGGAAGGGAACAACACCCATTTCCCCAAGCCCGAGCAGGGCATTTGCCTTTTGCAAGGTGACAAATGAAAGGTCAAGAGGCAGAACTCACAGGAGGAGTTTGACCCAAGTCAGAGCTGTCAGCAGGCAGTCCCCTTCTCTAGCTGCTCTGCATTTGCAAAGCCTGATGAAGCAGCAAGTTTTCCTCATTTGCTGTAAATCTCAGACGGGAAATGGACTTTCCTGATTTCGCTACCAGGAGAAACCCCAGCACATCTGCTTGTCAACACACCAGCACAGGCACCGAAAGCTCAAAGGCGGCAACAGGCAGACTTTTCCTCCCAGAAGCCCTTCGTTATTGCTGCCTGTGGTTCAACGTATGCAAACAACACCAGGACTGCCCTTTCGACTTTGCTCGGGGTAGAGAGAAAACAGGGGGACAGCCACTCTAATAACACCGTGCTTATGCCACGCTTTTACGGGAAGTGGGCAGGCTCTTCCAGCCGCCATCTCACCAGCCAGAAACCCCAGGAAAAATTAACACAAGGGGAATTAGCCAGGGGGGAGCCGTTTGGTTAGGGGTGCGCTGTATTGCAAGGCTGAACACACAATGATCTGTAGCAAGAGGAAGCTAGTAAGACCTGTAGAAGTACAAGATGATGGCTGCAGCCTCCTGCCTGCTCCCAAACAGCTAGAATAGATGATCTCGGGATGCACAGCAGCCCTACCCACAGCAACCCAAACCCCAGACACTGGCTGCACAGGAGGAAGCAATGGGTCATCCCCCCTTCCCTTCCAGTTAGCCACAATTCAGATACGCCGCAGCACCGGCTCCAGAAGACAGAGCCACTTCACTGCGCCCAACAGCCGGGACAGTTCTGGGATACAGGGCTGATAGTTCAGCTTCAAACCATTCCCAGCTTAAGGAAGAAACATCATCTGTTAAAAATGTGAGTAACAGGGTCTGCTGAAGCTCAGGAAT